AACCCAGATGCGAAGTTCGAGTATTACCTGTAAGAACCACTGCGTATTTAAAATCCTTTTCTTCTTCTTCTTCTTCTTCTTCTTCTTCTTCTTCTTCTCTGTTTGAATTTTTTTCTTTGCGTTTTCTGAAGCTTCTGCTTCGACCCTTTGTTGCCTTTCTTTCTTTTGTTGTTTTGCCGTCATTTACAATGGGCTTTTGCCCATTTAATTAGCTAGGTTTTTTTATAGTTTAAGTAACATTAAATGAATACTCCAACTTGAATGTGAAGTATTACAATATATTTCAAAGATAGACGGATTTGTGGGATGGACTAGATATTCTAGCACCACTACCTTCATGTGATTGTGAGGAATTAAGGCCATATGTTGACCATGTGGTCAGACAGAGGTTACTGCAGTTCCTTATAGGGCTGAATGAGAGTTATGGCCAGATAAGAAGTAACATTTTGCAGAGAAGGCTAGTACTCACTGTAAATCAAGCATACTCAGTTGCAGTACAAGAGGAAAGTCAAAGAGTATTAAAAGTTGTTGAAACAAACAAAGATCCTCTAACTATGTTAGCAGATAGGGGACAAATGTTCAAAGGAAAGAAACCAGGACTAATCTGTGAGAATTGTGGCTATAAAGGCCATCTAAAGGAGAATTATTACAAAATAATAGGGTATTCAGCTAATTTTAAGAGCATAAAGAAAGGGCAACCAGGTGCATACAAACTTTATGCTAACACTGTGAATGTAGAGGGAGGATTAGATGTCAAAGCCAAGGTTCCAGGGAATTTTATGACAAAAGAGCATTACAAACACCTAGTCAATTTGCTGACCAAGTCTTCTATGGGAGAAGGATCTGCTGCTGCAACAAGCTCATCAAACATGCTAGGTATTAAGTCATTGCTATCTAGTGTATCCAAAGGGAAAGTGTATGATTGGATAAAGATTCAAGGGCATCACACCACATAACCTTCTGCAAGGAAGTATTAGAGAGTCTTAAAGAAATTGAAGGAGAAAATAATTATGGAGTAGAAATGCCTACAGGAGATAAATCAAAGAATACACACTCAAGAGATGCATTCATTTTGGGAAAACAAAAGATAACAAATGTGTTATATGTGACGAATTTTAAATTTAACCTGCTTTGGATGTCCAAACTAACTAAAGACTTGTGCTGCTCAACTACCTTCGACCCTGATTTCTGTGTGTTTCAGGGGATCTACAATGGCAAGGTACTGGAAATTACTAGGGAAGACAGTAGGATCTATAGACTAAGAACGGAAGAATTAGTAGCAACAAGGACTTTCAAAAGGGAGAAAGTGGATATTGCATTATGGCATCGACGATTAGGACATGCATCTCGGAATACTTTACAAAAGTTGGATGAACTAAAGAATAAGGTGGATGCAAACTTACATAAAACCTGTGAAATTTGTCCTCTAGCCAAGCATAGCACACTTAAATTTCCAAATAGTAGTAGTAAATGTAGTAGTATCTTTCAACTTGTGCATGTTGATGTATGAGAGCCATATAAAGTTCCAACCTATGACATGAAGCAATATTTTGTGACAATAGTTGATGACGTTAGTCGATATACATGGATTTGCGGATTGCATTCAAAGAATGAAGTAATTGTAGTATTAAAAGACTTCTTTTCCTTGATTAAGAATCAGTTTGATACTATGATCAAAACAATAAGATTAGACAATGGCATAGATTTCTTGAATGATCAGTGCAATGATATGTTTGCATCCCTTGGTATTGTGCATCAAAGCAGTTGTCCATACGCTCTACAACAGAATGGAGTTGTGGAGAGGAATCATATATATATTTTAGAGATGGCAAGGTCCTTAAGGCTTCAAAGGGATATGCTAGTGAAGTTTTGGGAAGACTGTGTGAAGACTGCTGTATATTTGATCAATAAACTGCCTTAAGAGTTATTAGAAGGCAAATCCCCCTTTGAGATGCTACATAGAAAACAACCAAAATTTGAACATTTAAGGGTGTTTGGTTATCTGTTTTATGCAAGCACATTACCTAATTGTGACAAATTTGCACCAAGAGCAAGAAGGACAGTCTTCATATGGTACTCAGAAACTCAAAAAAGATATAAGCTATTTGACTTAGATACTAGCACCTTTCTTATTAACGGAGATGTCAGTTTTAGAGAGGACATATTTCCTTTTAAGACAGATAACATGGAGCAAGATGATCTATTTTTTCTCAGCACAACAGATACTACCAACTCTAGCCTTCAGCATGGTGATACAACAGGAGCAGCTGGAATGACGGAGGGAAATAACATGGTTCTATCACCTGGTTGTGAGAGTGATTATAATAATGATCAAGCTGGACCGCCCTAGGAACAAAAAGTTATTCCTGAACTAGGGAATTCAACTCTTGAATCAGAGGAGCAAACAAAGCAGGAGATAAGTGATAAAGTGCATCACCGGGGGATAATTGATCAAGTGCATCAGGCACTGCCAGAACCTGTTACAGAACCATGTGTAACTCAAGTTGCACCTCCAGTTGAGATTAGAAAATCAACTAGAGGAGTAAAGTGTGTTGTATGGCTAAAGGATTATGTTACTACTTGGAAATCATCAGGACATAGTCCTTACTCCCATCTCACAGTGTGTCCTATGATCATCTCTCAATCCATTACCAAGCCTATTTGGCAGCATTCTCAATAAAAGTAGAACCAACTTCTTTTTGAAAGGCATCACACGATGTTAGGTGGGTAGAATCTATGTAGAATGAAATCAAAGCCTTAGAATATAATAACACTTGGGAACTTGTAGACTTACCCTATGGTAAGAAAGTCATTGGCTCTATATGTGTGTACAAAATTAAATACAAGACAAGTGGAGAGATAGAGAAATTTAAAATTAGACTTGTGACTAAGAGCTACATACAACAAGAAGGTCTAGATTATCATGAGACCTTCTCACTTGTATCAAAAATGGTAACAGTCAGAACTACAATCAGTCTAGCAGCCTCAAAGAATTGGAACCTATTTCAAATGGATGTTAATAATACATTTATGCAAGAAGACCTATATGAAGAAGTTTATATGCATATGCCCCAAGGTTTTCATAGACAGGGGGAGTCAAAAGTTTGTAAATTGTCAAAGTCACTCTATGGCCTTAAACAAGCATCTAGGTAATGGAATATTAAACTAACTGATGCTTTAACAAAGGCAGACTATTTTCAAAGTGCCTATGATCACTCACTCTTTACAAAGAAGAATTGTGCAGATATGGTGATTATTTTGGTATATGTTGATGACTTACTGATCATAGGAAGCTGTCAAACTATGATACAAGCAACAAAGAAAATATTGCATTTGTGTTTCAAAGTTAAAGATTTAGGGAAGTTAAAGTACTTCTTAGGTATAGAGATCTTGAGATCACAAAAGGATATCCTTCTCAATCAAAGAAAATATGCACTCAGTCTAGTTTCTGAAGTTGTACTAAGTTGGGAAAAACATGCAAGTTCTCCCCTTGAACAAAATTAGAAGTTGAAAATAGTAGACTATGATAAGCATGTTGGGATGACAGGAGATGAAGAATTGCGTTATATAGGTGGATACCAGAAGCTTATAGGAAATTAAAGCTGATATATCTGACCGTAACTAGGCCTAACATATGCTTTGTTGTTCAGATGCTAAGCCAATTTATGCAGCATCCAAAATAATCTCATCTAAGGCATCGTTGAGAGTAATAAGATATATAAAATGTGTCCAGGGAGAGGTGTGTTGTTGAGAAAAAAAAAACCTTGGAACAAATCACAACCTTCTATGATTCAGACTGGGCAGCATGCCCAAACACAAGAAGGTCTGTTACAGGATACATAGTGAAGTCGGGAGATTCCTTGATCTCTCGAAAATCTAAAAAACAGCAGACTGTGAGCAGGAGTTCTGTAGAAGCTGAATATAAGAGCATGCCAGTTGTGATGTCTAAAATAGTTTGGCTTACAAGGTTGATGAAAGAAATAGGGATTGGAGTCCAAACACCTGTAAAACTGTTTTGCGATAGTAAAACAGCTCTACAAATTGCTGCTAATCCAATCTATCATGAAAAAACTAAACACATAGAAATAGATTGTCACTTTGTGAGGGAAAGAATCAAAAGTGGATAGATCTCACTACAATACATCTCCACAAAAGAACAAGTTGCAGACATGATGACCAAAACCCTAGGTACTACACAACACCAGATTCTAGTGTCCATGTTGGGAGGGATAGATGTTTTCCACTCTCCAGCTTGAGGGAAAGTTTTATAATTAGAAGCTTCATTAAGGAAGCAGGGACTTATGTGCAATTAGTTAAACTTTGTGGATGAAATGTAGTACATTAGAAGAAGAGAAGTTAGGTTGTTAAAAGGGTCTTAGTGTTGTAACAGTGTTAACTAACAAGATGAAATAGACAGATGTTTCTTCCTCTCCCTTTTCTCTCTACAGATCATATCAAGTTCACGGTTAATTGATAATTCATGTGCTTACATTGTGTAATTTGACAATAAATAATTAATTTTGAACCTATTAAATTAAATAAAATATGGTAAAATTCAGAATCTGAATCCATAAAATTCAAATTTTGAATCTGCATCTGATTAGATAATGTGATGTCAAACTCAACGTAATACTCCTAAGCATATATATTCGAAGTTTCAACAACAATATGTATGGTTGTTGGAGGACCACAAGACAAATAGGATCATTTCAAGTGCACTTCTTAAGTGGAAAAGGCTAAATTAAACTTTTCTAGGTCAGAGCCAGAAGAAGTAGTTGAATTCATGAATTAATTAATGCACCTATTTCTTTGGATTTGGTAGTTTTACAAAATCCACTTTCCGTCATTGCAATGTCAACACGAAATGACCCTCGTGTAGTTCTCTGTCTTTGTCCCTATACTGCCTAAAATTGCACACTTATTTATTACTCCTCATTATAACCCCCAACAAAATTAGTTCATTCATGACTTTGGTCTCTTCTTTTTTCACTGCTAGCCTTTAATTTTTGCACTATATAACCACTCAACTACATAGCACGAAAATAACCAAGATAAATTAAAATGGCACATAATAGAATATCATGGCTCCTAATTATAACTCAAATTTTCTTGTTATTACTAGCCAAAACAAATGCCAAAATTCCTGCAATTATTGTTTTTGGCGATTCATCGGTTGATTCGGGTAATAACAACTATATTCAGACAATTGCGAGGAGTGATTTTATGCCATATGGTAGAGATTTTGCAGGTGGTCGGCCGACAGGTCGATTTTCTAATGGAAGAATTACAACTGATTTTATTTCGGAGGCTGCTGGTTTAAAACCAACAGTTCCAGCATATTTGGATCCAGCTTATAATATTTCTGATTTTGCTGTTGGAGTTAGTTTTGCCTCTGCTGGAACTGGATATGATAATGCCACTGCTAATGTTCTTGTAAGCTTCTTTAATTTGCAATACTCTTAACATGTTTTTGACTTTAGAGCTTGTACTTGTAGAACAGTTTAATAATGTAAATAGTAGTACTGCTACTTTGGTTAAGAGTTTAGAGTTTAGGGTTTAGACTTTACTAGTATACTGCTACATTGGTTAAGGAGGTGTAATCTCATAGGCAAATCCAAAATTTAACTTTATAGATTTCTACATCAATTTCAAGTGTAGTATAGGAGTAGATAGTTAGTGGACTTCTGAATAGAAATATACGGACCGTACAAAAGTTACTGAGTTCTGAAAACCTATGAAATATGCACTAGATCGCCACTGGCCAGTGTTATAGATTTGGATGTGCGATCAAAGTTTATAGTAAAAGCCTCTAAAAAAAGAAAAATAAGCTACATATAATGTGTATACTTGCAACCTTTGAAAAAAGAATTGTTTGGTCTTGGGCTTAAAGGAATTTTATGACAGTATGTTAAGAGTGTATTTGGGTTGACTAGCTAATAATATGTTAACATTTTGGAAGTTGATAGCAGTTTGATTGAATACAAAGTTTAAGAAATAAAAAAATACTTTGACAAAAAAAATATGCAAGGTATTAAAATTAATCTTACTATTAAGAGTTAATTAAAGGTGATAAAAGTTTCACATGTTCCAAATTTTATCGGATGTCCCAAAAGTACATAAAAGTTTCACATGTCACTTCTTACTGTTCTCCCCTAATAAAACATCGATTTTCCTATCAAGCGAGGCCCCAAAAAAGTTATTTTTGTTAGGGTCAAATACGAATACTAAGATAAATTGTTTACAATACAAAGTGGTGTCATATTTTCTGCTGAGAATTAATTATTTTTCTTGAGCCGAGGGTCTATCAGAAATAGTCTCTACCTCCATAAGTTGAGACTTAGTTGTTTGTTGTTGTTGTTGTTGTTGTTGTTGTTGTTGTTGTTGTTGTTGTTTTAAATATATTAAAAAGAAAAGAGTGTTACATGAAATAGGATAAACGTAGTACGATCATAATCTTACTATGTACTCTTGTCGTTTTATTAAATAGCTTGTACATGATCCAAAATTGCAGGGCGTGATACCCTTATGGAAAGAATTGGAGTACTACAAAGAATATCAAAAGAAACTAAGGACTTATCTTGGTGATGAAAAGGCAAATGAAGTAATAAGTGAGGCATTATATGCCTTAAGTCTTGGAACAAATGACTTTCTTGAAAACTACTACACAATGCCTCAAAGGAGATCTCAATACACTGTGGATCAATACCAAACTTTCCTAATTGGAATAGCCAAGAATTTTGTAACCAATTTGTACAATCTTGGAGCAAGAAAAATATCACTAGGTGGACTTCCTCCAATGGGGTGTATGCCACTAGAAAGAACATCAAACATGGCCAATGGGAATGAATGTTTGGAGAGTTACAATGTTGTGGCTATGAATTTTAATGATAAGTTGAGTGGATTGGTTATTGAGCTAAACAAAGAGCTTTCTGGGATTCAAGTTGTTCTCTCTAATCCTTACAACATTATGCTACAAATNGTCGAGGTTAGGCTCGGCACTTACCAGTACATGGGGTCGGTCCCCCCCCCCCCCCAGTTAATTAAGAAAATATTTTTTTGATATTTACAGTCAAACTCCTCTATATTGGTCATAACCTCACTTCACTATAACAATCAAATTTTCTTTGGAACCAATATTTCATGTTATGCTACAATAATTTTTTCTCTATATCATCATTTCACTATAACAACCAAAAATATCCAAAACAAACGAGATTGTTATAGAGAGATTTAACTGTATTTAAAACTGAAGTACCATAATAAGTTTTAAATATGATCCCGTAAAAGAACTCCTCTATATTGATTTCAACTATTTTCTACTAGTACTATAACGTCTTAAATATAATGTAGTACTTATTAGAGGTTAAGTTATACACTTATTATAGTTTAAAATTCTTTACACTATCAGACATGTAACTAAAATATTGGTTTAGGTTATTACTCTACTTTCTATGTTACTACCATATATAATACTTGCATGTTATTATAGGTGATCAGCTTAATATGATCGGTTTACACTGTCGGTGTTGGGAACACAAACTCATAGTATTATGATAATCTTGTTATTTGACAGGGTTTGAGGTAGCTTCACTCGCGTGCTGCGCAACAGGACTATTTGAGATGGGTTACGCATGTGATCGATATAATCTTTTCACATGTAAAGATGCAAATAAATATATATTTTGGGATGCATTTCATCCAACGGAAAAAACAGATCGTATCATCGCCGATCATGTGGTTAAAACAGCTCTGTCCAAGATTTTGGAATAATTATAAGTTGGAGATTATCTATTTGCATGCTTTGGTTATTCCATAAAGCCATATATAATTAGTACGAATTGAGTGGATTTCTAGTTACATTACGGGTATTGTTGCGTGATGTTCTTTAATCCGATCCCTTGTACGATAAGTATATATAAAATGGGTGCTTTTAATTGCTAATTACATTTTCTTGGGATTGTTCTCGTTCTATATTATTTTATTGTTCAAACAATTGGTTCATCAAAAAGATAAAAGGAGCGCATAAACTTTTTTATGTATTTCAATATCGATCGAATTGAATACGGTTTATTCTATTTTGGAACTATTTGTCAATGTGCAAATTCAAATAACATGCAACTCTACAAATGCATTTCAGAGAACACAGGTGCAACAAATAGGTGAGTAATGTAAATATTTTTATTTTTTTTTACAAAGTTAATAGAGAAAGAAAAAAGACACAATTAGTTACCNGGGGGGGGGTTCCAATTTGATTTGAATTTTGAACTCATGACAATGCGATCTAATTCATGATTTCTTAGTTATTGTACTATCTCTATAGGGACAAGCAAGTCAATACTAAATAACCATGTCAAAATCAATGGGAATAAAAAGGCTACTTTAAGACCAGTGATAATCTAAAGTTCGCACGTGAAAAAACACTCAGCAAGTCAAGACTCATAATATATGCCCATTTTTTCCAGCAATGCTTAGTTTATGACATTTGTCTAATTTAATGGACTCGATACAACTATAGTCTGCAATAAATATTAGATGTTCTAAACCTGTTACAGCACTGACTTGCGTAATATAGAAGAAAACAAGCAAACAACAACAGGAAAAGTGACTTCTGATATATCCCCAACAGTAACAATCCATGTAAACTTCCAGGAAACAAAGGAAGGAAAAATAAAATCTTTTGAACTGGGGAGGCCAATCTGATGATGAATTCACTATAACATAGTAATACACGGCTTTTGTTACGTCAAAACTGTTTCTAACTAGCTTAACATAATACTCTATGAGAGTGAAGAAGAATTATAACTCATCCTTGTTTGGTGTGTCGTCGCCCATAAGTTCTTCAAGGGAGAACTCGTCTTCTTCGATGATTTCCCCATCTTTTCCATCCCATGCTTCAGTCTTTACAATTGAAGGTGTAGCAGCTAACGGAAGATTACCTTTTCCACCTAGTCCAGCTTCTTTCACAAAATCTCTGTATATACAGAATGAATACTGTCAAGTTCAATCCCAAACACAGTGGAGAACACAAAATGATGTGGACAAAGCTACTTACATTATCGGCTGGCGCTGGAATGCACTCTTAAGAGGTGCATATACTCCTTTTTTCACATTCAAAGCTACCATAGCTGGATATCCATAACCACCAACGCCGACGTGCTTTTCAAGGTCTGGTTGCTTACCAGCAGCCACCCAAACGTAACTGTAAAATTGACCAAAATAATTAGGTTTATCTCTATATTCGAGAATAGTTCAAGCCACTTGATTTTATTACACCTCAGATCATTTCTATTGAAGAATAGAATGCAACATGTGTAGCTAAGTACACTACTACACTTGCCTGTAGGGATTTCTCTTGAACTTCTCCGCAACAGATAACAACATTTCTAGGTATTTGTTCCTTCCTTCTGCCTTGGAATCTAATATATCCGGCAGGAATGAAACAAAGCAGATTGCAGCAGAATTACATTTCTCTTCCATGACATCCTTCATTAGGAAAGAGATCAAATTTAGTCATATTTCAATGGGTATGAAATGCAAGACAAAGGAAGAAGAGTTCAAAGGATTATTAAAGTGAGCTTACTGGGCTAGTCAACTCAATCACTTCAGGAGGTGCAACATTAGTTTCCAGCTGCTCTAATCCAAACGACTCAATGGCTGCCGCTGTTCTTGCACCTTCATATGGGACAGGGCTTTCCTTGTCAGCACCAAATACCAAAATTGTGGGGAAACCTTGGACGTTGTACCTGCTCATCAAAGACTGGTGACAGACCCTGATTAGAAGTGGCACACTCAATAAGGTATTAAAAGTTAAAAGAAACTCCAATTAGAAATTCTATTTTGACAATTTGTAATGCCAAATCAAGGGATGAGAACAACCATATCATCCTCGTTTTCCATGTAATTAGTAATTACATATGATAAACCAAGCTTACAACAACATACCCAGTATTATCCCACACCGTGGATGATAAACCAAGCTTATCTCACCATTTTGTTTGATGCTTGTTTTTCTTTTTGTGAAATGGTAGGTGTATTATAAATATCGCACCAAGGAGGTGCTATTAAAAATACTTACAAGGTACCAACAGAATGTCCCTTCCTACCATGTTGTTTAGTGCTTACAGTAGCTCTTTATTTCCCTGCTTATTCCCATTCTTTTTAACAGAGTAGGACTGAGAACTTGGAGTTAAGTGCTTGTTAATTCAAGCAAGTTCATGAGCTTTTTACTTTAAAGGAAGCTAAGCAAATATTCCTAATCAAAGCTGGAGAAAGTACGTGAACAGAAAGAAAGAAACATATGATTATAGAGTTAGAAATTATCAGAGGAATAAAGAACTGCAGGCCAGAAAATTCGAACAATCAGAGAACCATCAAGAACGAAAGTATAGATATTAAATTATTTAATTCTTTTTTTTCTTTGGATGTGGTTTTTGATTTGGGCGGGGG